ACAGCTCACAGGATATGGCTCAGAATATTATCCATAGTCCTTGAAAAGGGACTAAAAGTCCTTGACTTTGCTTAATAACTAAACTATCATTATTTAGTCTGTTGGATGGTTTTCCTTTGTTTCCGCATTTTCTCACTTCTCTGATTAAACTTACTCTTTGGCTAAAAAATTTCCCCAGACAAAAGGCAGGTGGAGGACATGAGGGGCAAGCACCATAGGCTTTTCCCAGAGCATCAAATTAGAGAGGTACCTCCCAGTGGTGGCATCCTTGGACCTGCCTTCGGGTGGAAGAAGAAGGGGAACTGGAAGGTACTCCTGGAGGAGGAACAGCAAGTACAGATGTGCAGAGGCATGATCCACTCAGGCTCATTGGGTATGATGACTGCAGAGGAAGTGCAGGGCCAGGGAATGCTGGAGACCTGGGAGCTTGGCTGGAGGATGGGTCACGGATGCCTTTGCTGCTGTTCGATGGCCCTTGGACCCGGCTCTGAGGACAACCAGGAGCCTTTGAACTGAGATGGACACCCTCCATTTCCTTGAATCTACAATGCAGCATTTCTGGAATCACTCCTGTGTGTAAATTGACAGTTTACGCAATCCAAATCTAAGCATCATCGTGGCCCCTTCCAAGATCAAGAAGGAATGTTATCTTTACCACCTGACTGGTTGGTGGTGAGGCAACAAGATGATGGTTCAGGAATCTAAATGTCAGTTTGCTGACTCCAGCCAGCCTGGGGGTCTACATGCTGGTGGGCGGCAGTTTCCATGTGGTGGGGTCTTTGTTTCTGTAGAAACAACTCAAGGACATGCATTGGGTTGCCATCTCTCTCCCCAGGGAGCAAGCAAGGTCCCTGCCACTCTAAGGCTGGATAACTGTTTAAGTGACTGGGCAATGCAGTTTTTCTAATGATTAACTCCTTGAGCCTGCTCCTTGTTTGGGAATATAAGTTGTTACTGTGTCCAGAATGAGGAAGAGATGGTTAGATAGCATCAGCGATTCAATGGACATGAATTTGAGCAAATGCCAGGAGACAGTGAAGGACAAGACAACCTGGCATGCTGCAGTCCATGGTAGTATTCTTGCCTGGAGAATCACGTGGACAGAGGTGCCTGGCGGGCTGCAGTCCCTGGGGTCGCAAGAGTCAGACACGACTTAGCGACTAAACCACCACCACCACCATTTCTTTGAGGCCAGCTCTCAGAATTGTGGCAGCTTATGTCATGGCCACAGTCTGGTCATCATATAATTAACTTCTTCCACCTGATGGGGGTTTTAATATCCATAAGACAGCTCACAGGATATGGCTCAGAATATTATCCATAGTCCTTGAAAAGGGACTAAATGTCCTTGACTTTGCTTAATAACTAAACTATCATTATTTAGTCTGTTGGATGGTTTTCCTTTGTTTCCGCATTTTCTCACTTCTCTGATTAAACTTACTCTTTGGCTAAAATATTTCCCCAGACAAAAGGCAGGTGGAGGACATGAGGGGCAAGCACCATAGGCTTTTCCCAGAGCATCAAATTAGAGAGGTACCTCCCAGTGGTGGCATCCTTGGACCTGCCTTCGGGTGGAAGAAGAAGGGGAACTGGAAGGTACTCCTGGAGGAGGAACAGCAAGTACAGATGTGCAGAGGCATGATCCACTCAGGCTCATTGGGTATGATGACTGCAGAGGAAGTGCAGGGCCAGGGAATGCTGGAGACGTGGGAGCTTGGCTGGAGGATGGGTCACGGATGCCTTTGCTGCTGTTCGATGGCCCTTGGACCCGGCTCTGAGGACAACCAGGAGCCTTTGAACTGAGATGGACACCCTCCATTTCCTTGAATCTACAATGCAGCATTTCTGGAATCACTCCTGTGTGTAAATTGACAGTTTACGCAATCCAAATCTAAGCATCATCGTGGCCCCTTCCAAGATCAAGAAGGAATGTTATCTTTACCACCTGACTGGTTGGTGGTGAGGCAACAAGATGATGGTTCAGGAATCTAAATGTCAGTTTGCTGACTCCAGCCAGCCTGGGGGTCTACATGCTGGTGGGCGGCAGTTTCCATGTGGTGGGGTCTTTGTTTCTGTAGAAACAACTCAAGGACATGCATTGGGTTGCCATCTCTCTCCCCAGGGAGCAAGCAAGGTCCCTGCCACTCTAAGGCTGGATAACTGTTTAAGTGACTGGGCAATGCAGTTTTTCTAATGATTAACTCCTTGAGCCTGCTCCTTGTTTGGGAATATAAGTTGTTACTGTGTCCAGAATGAGGAAGAGATGGTTAGATAGCATCAGCGATTCAATGGACATGAATTTGAGCAAATGCCAGGAGACAGTGAAGGACAAGACAACCTGGCATGCTGCAGTCCATGGGGTCCCAGAGTGGGATACAACTGATCAACTGAACAACTGTTCAACTGAACAACAGCAAAGTGGCTTTTTCAGCTCGCAGGGAGACAATCTGACCTTGCCCACCTGTGAATGGCTGGAGAAAAGAAGATATTAACATTTTCCCTCCTATTTTGCAAGATAATGGCCTTTTTTCTTTATTTCCTCACCTCCTCTTCCTTTCTGCTCTATAAAAGAAGCTGGCATCCAGACCCCCAGAAGATGGCTTTTTGGAGACACCAGTCTGCCATCTTCTATGTCGCTGGCTTTCTGAATGAAGTTGTATTCCTTGCCTCAACATTTTGTCTCCAATTTATTTTCCTGTCATGTAGCATATAGAACAACAACACAGCACTTCCCAGGTAGCACTAGTGGTAAAGAACCCATCTGCCAATGCAGGGGACGCGGGTTCAGTCCTTGGGTTAGGAACATCCCCTGGAGGAGGGAATGGCAACCCACTCCAGTATTCTTGCCTGGAGAATCCCATGAACAGAAGAACCTGGTGGGTTGTAGTCCAAGGGATTGCATGAATCCACCTAGCACACACATAATAACAAAAGCAACGAAAAGCAAGGGTTAAAATCAAAGAAACAGATCCAACATGGAGTCAGAACTGGGCTCTTCTCTGTTACAAGGAAGGGCACTGCAGTCTCCACCTCAGGATGGACTCCTCCTGGCAGGACTGACCAGAGGCCAGCTGAACCTTTGACAGGTGCGAAGTCTTTCCAGGTCTGGACACATCTCCTTTTCTCCTTGACTGTCTCCTTGTACTTTCTTAGGAAAGAAAACGCTTGAGAATTCCTTGTTGAGAACTTTGTTTTTCCTCTTTGTCCCCTTCAAAACTCCTCCTTCTGACTTCTTTCAGAGAGGCAGTGAGAGTTCATTTGTAAACCTGGGTTTTAAAAAAAAATCAGGGCAAATGCTGCCTTAATCAGCATAATAATAAAGGCTCTGTGCTGCATTTAAGCTATATAATAGCTGAATGGTGCTGCTCTTGTGTGCTAAGTCGCTTCTGTCGTGTCTGACTCTTTGTGACCCCATGGACTATAGCTCACCAGGCTCCTCTGTCCATGGGATTCTCCAGGCAAGAATACTGGAGTGGGTTGCCATACCCTCCTCCAGGGGAACTTCCTGACCCAGGGATCGAACTCACGTCTCTTAAATCTCCTGCATTGGCAGGTGGGTTCTTTACCACTAGCGCCACCTCGGAAGCTCTCAAAGGGGCTCAAAATGCCTCTTTAATAGGGTATGCTGTAGGTTCAGGGGTGGCCTGTGTCTGGAGACCCCACCACCTTCACTTCCATGGGGACTCGGGAAAGCTCCAGCTGACCTTCACTGACGGGGGCAAGATGAGTCAGGTCACAGGCCTCAGAGGTGTCTGGCTGGTGACACCAGCAGAGCAGTCGCTTCTTCTGCACACCTACTGGGTGCTGGCAAAGCACAAAACCCACAGGCCAAGCTTTATCCGAGCCCACTCTCACGACTGCCTGAGAGGTGGCCGCAGCTGTCCCCATTCCCCAGGTGAGGAGAAGGGGGTTCGAGGGGCCATGAGAATGATCTCAGCTGCACAACCTGGCTAGACCAGAGCCCCTCAGGCTGGCCTTGCTGCCCCCAGGGCCTCTGACTCAGCCAGTTCTTGGCTTCCCCAAACTCCTCCTTCTCAGGGTCACCCTACTGCAGGAAGACAGAGTCTTTCCAGGGTCCCAGGGTGGGCTCTTGTCTAATACAGAAGTGAATTGTCTGAGGAGACACACGTGCTGTCAAAGCAGAAGACTTTATTGGGAAGGGGCGCCCGGGCGGAGAGCAGCAGGGTTAAGGGAACCCAGGAGAACTGCTCCGCCAGGTGGCTCACAGTCTTGGGTTTTGCGGTGATGTGACTAGTTTCCAGGTTGTCTCTGGCCAATCACTCTGACTCAGGGTCCTTCCTGGAGGTTCGGGTATCGCTCAGCCAAGATGGATTCCAGCAAGGAGGATTCTGGGAAGTTGGCAGGACATTTGAACTGGCGTCTCCTCTTCTTTTGACCTTTCCCGAATTATTCTGGTTGGTGGTAGTTTGTTAGCTCCGTGTTCCTTACCACAACCTCTTGCTGTAAGATAACTCACGCAAGTGGTTGCTATCAGGCCTGGCCAGGGAAAGTGGTTTCGGTCATTGGTTCCCCTAACTAAACCACAGTCTCATGCTTTGAGGGGGTGGGGTCAGCTTTCTGGGGTTGTCTCTGGCCAATCATCTTGCTTCTGCCCACATTTGATGTGAATCAGGGTCCTTCCTGGTCATGCGAGCATCTCTTAGACAAGATGATTCCCGAGTGAGGGCTTCGGGGAGGTTGGCAGGACTTATCATGGATGGACATTTCTTCCCCTCTTTTGGCCCCTCCTGAATTTTCCCATTTAGTTTTGGGACCTCCTGTCGTGAAACAACTCGTACGAGCAGTATGGCCAGGGTGGGCGGTCTCAGTCAACGGTTCCCTAACAAAACCAGTGTCCAGTCCCTCCCTAGTCTTTGTTCCTGGGGTTTATCCTGGGTAAGGGGGACCCTGTGCAGAAAGCAGAAGCTGCCTGGCCCAGGGGTCCAGCTCCCCTCAAACAATGACCTCATCATTCACCAACCCCCTTTTTCTGCCTTCAGGAGAGCACCTGGCCATACCTGTTTGGAGTGATCATCATCCCTGCCTTGGTCCAGCTGGTGAGCCTGCCCTTTCTGCCCAAGAGCCCGTGCTACCTGCTCTTGGAGAAGCATGACCAGGAGGGAGCTGAGAAAGGTAGGGCGCCCTTTGCCTCGTCCATGAAGCTCCCATCTCTTTACAGGGGTCAGGACTACAGGGCATGCACGCACACCCATCCCGTTTCGCCTTCCTATCTGTCTTCCTATCTATCTGTCTGTGCGTGGCCCTGAGTGGGGACACAGATCACAGTGTGGACTGAAAAAAATAGCACATTGTGAGAGTTGTGCATTAAGTTTTATTTGTGGGAAAAAGAGGACTGCAGTCTGGGAGACAGCCTCTCAGCTGGCTCTGAGAAACTGCTCCAAAAAGATATGAGGAGTGTCAGTATATATGTGATTTTTGTGAAGCGGGATGCATGCAGTCAAGCATGCATGTTGGCAAAGGTTTGCTGGTAAGTCACAAGGAGCAGATGTCACCATTAATGGTTTTAGTGCCTTTCTAGATGTGAGAATATGCGAGACTTTGGGCTCATAAAATCTTCTGAGAATATCCAACTATCTGAAGGCATGTTCTGCCAGTTTTGCAGAGAGAGCACCTTATTCCTGATCTCTGCCCTGAACTCCTTTCAGGGGGTATTGAAGCTCAGCGACTGAAGTAGCTACTGACTTAATCCTTATAGAACCAGATGGCTGGTGACAGTTTTTCAGTTATCAATAGAGAGACCCTGAAAAAGCCAAGACAGAGCAGGATGAGACCCAGGCCTGCTCACCTCTTGGGTGGTCCCAACCCCAGAGATGCTGCAAGCACAGGTTTCTTGGTGGTTCAGTCTATCCTAGCCCTCCCTCTGTCATTCTCTTCCTCACTGATCAGCTTTCCCATCAAGCACAGAATAAGCCCTCATGTCACCCCAGCATGGGGCCTCTGCACCAAGACCCAATGGAACATTCGTTTCAGCCCTTCGAGGGAGCAGAAATATACCCATTTTACAGGAAGGAAGCTTGAGGCCCACGTAGGGCTTGCCAGTTGTCTTGTGTAGCTTTTCTTAACCCTTTCAATGGTGAGGTGCTGAACCAGATTCAAAGCACAGCTTGAAGAATCAGAGGCATTTCTACAGAGTCCAGAAAAAGCAAAATGATTTTGCCTGGAGACAGACAATGTAGAGTCAACAACAGTATCCCCATTCTTTTAGCTTAATTAAACAGGACATGGTCGAGAGCACCGTGGTTCAGCACAAGGGCTGGGAGTAACTAGTACAGCCTTCACATCCCAGCTCTGCGGTCTGACCTCGACCTGTTCTTTTTACTGTTCTGATTCTCAGAATCTACATCTGTAAAAAGGACATGATATAAATTTCCCCTATGGGCTTCTTGGAAGGATTAAAGTAGGTATATGTATCTATGTCTATATCTATATTCAGTCCACAGTATTACCTGCTGTCATCATTACTGAGCTCTCTGTCCATTTTCTTATTATCCATACTGTGTCCTCTAATCTAAATTTCCCTAACATCCACATCCAAGAAAAAAAAATTAAGAATTATATGTACTCTTTAGTTTACTATAATTTGTGCAAAAAAAAATCCAAAATTTAAAGTCCAAGTAACCTAAGTATCTTCCGAATTGACAAATATTGTGACGAAATATTAATCACCCCCTGTGTTTGTTTAGCAATTTTGGGTTTGGATCTATTTTCTCATTTACAACGTTTCTATAACATGAGATCAGAGAGCATTATCATTACCTTCATTTTTTGGATGAAGAAACAGAGGCTTACAGGGGTGAAGTGACTTCTCCAAGCCTGTGGTTATATGGTTTCTGGTTTCTAGAGGCCTTTAAAAACTGATGGAGAGGACAGATCTTTCTTCTGTAGAGCGCCCACATACACAAAATTTGTGGAGCTTGGTGCTGGGGATGGAACTTGAACCCTCTCCCCTAGAAGCCCACAAAGCCCACCCTGGTTAATGCTCCACCCCCATCTCACAGCCAGCTAGGGATAAAAGAAGGATTGAAACCCAAAGATGACTGTCCTCCCTTCTCTCACACACACAGAGGGACACGGATGGGTAGTGGTCTAGAATCTTCCCGTGGGGCCCGTGGGGAGGCAAAATATCCAAAAATCAGGCTTCAGGAAAGAAGGCTGATGGTCAGCTGGTGGAGGCTCTGGAGTAAAAAGAAGGAAGTTGAGAAAGAGCCAATGGGATCTGGTTCCCAAAAGCAACTGGGTTATATGTTGCTGATGTTCAGTCGCTAAAGGTGTCTGATCCTCTTCTCCCCCATGGACGGCAGCGCACCAGGCTCCTCTGTCCTCCACTGTCTCCCTCGATTTGCTCAGATTCACGTCCACTGAGTCGGTGATGCTATCTAACCATCTCACTCCCCGCGCCCCCTTCTCCTTTTGCCTTCAGTCTTTCCCAGCTGTTAGAAGGCAGCAATTCCTCCAGCTTGATCTCCTGGCGGGCAAGGACCTCCATCCACGCATCTAACTCCACTGGGGAGGAACTCTTGGGAAACGTTCCAATTAAGTACAATTGGAATGGGCAGTGCATGCGCATGCCCGACAGTGAAAAAGGTTTAAAAGATTTATTTCATAGCACAGCAGGGAATGAGAGAGAAGGCCAGTGGTAAAAAGTGATAAATATTACATGTGCGCTTTAGAAAAAGGACAAAAATGTTGGCCTTGGGTTGACACAGAATATTGAAATCTGCATCTGTACTAATATTAATAAAAGTGCTCATTTCACTCCAGGCATTTAGCAAACATGGCTATTTACTGTGCTGGGTGTTCTGCCAGGCGCCAGGGAGAAGGGGACAAAAGATAGCCTTCCCGCTCCCCAGGAGGTAACAGGGACACCTAGTTATGGGCCGGGCACACACTCCTAATTAACGGCTTATCCACACTGAGAACTATTTCACTTTCAGTACTTCAGGTGTATTAGACTGTTAATCCCTTCTTACCATAGAAAGTAGATCATGTTATTACTTCCACGAGAGAGCTTAGATAAAGACAGCTAGCAAACGGCAGCCCTGGGATTTGAACTCTGACAGTCTTGCTCTGGATCCTACATGCATCAACATGAGCACCTTGTTTGGCACCACGGGAAATACACCTCGCCTGGTCTGTGGGCAGGGGTGTGTCCAGGGGCGGGGCCAGCGGGGTGGCTTAGATGTTCTGCCCACCCCTTTGTGGTGTTGAGTGCAGGGGGCATGCTCCAGTACCCTGCTTTTGCTTCCAACTTCCTATTTTTGCTCCAGCTCTTCAGAAGTGGCATTTAAGGGGTTTTTTTTGGTCTTTTTGTATTTTGTTGTCCATAATTTGGGACAGCAGTGGCCCAGCAGTAAAGAATCCACCTGCAAGCCAGAGATATAAGAGACATGGATTTGATACCTGGGTCTGGAAGATGCCCTAGAGGAGGACATAGAAACCCACTCCAGTATTCTTGCCTGGAGAATCCCATGGATAGAGGCTACTGTCTATGGGGTCACAAAGAGTCTGGCATGACTGAAGCGACGGGGCATGCAGGCATGGCCATAATTTGCCCCAGCTGCGCATGCGCTCAGTTATTTTTAGTCCCTCATAGCTCCTTTGTACTTTGTTGCTCGAGGAGAAATTTGTCCAGGTGCAGGCATTGCAGCAATGGGTTTCAAATCCCAGGCTGTCTTAAGAGGAAATGCAAGTATGGAACAGGCTGTTTACTCAGGCAGGGAGTTCTCATTTCTGGAGGTGTCTGAGCGCCAGGCAGGAGTAGGAAGAACCCCTGGAAGCAGCCAGAAGGTCCAGCTCAATCAACACCCTACTCCACTATCCACCAACCTCCTCTAGGCCTTGGCTTCCTAATTTCTAAGAAGGGAAACATCACAACTGTTCAGCCTCTGGTTGAGACAGACAAGATCAAGTACAGTGATGTTTTTAGGAAGAGGGCTTGGCAATCTGTGGATTGCGCACTGAAAAAGGAGATTGTCTGCTTTTGCCAGGTGGCTTGCTGCATAACCTTGCTTTTGAAGAAAGGGATTCTATGGCTAAAGTGATGTGATATCTTTTGCTCTGGGAATGGAGAATTTGTTTAATGTTGGGGGGAGAATCACCCCCAACTCTCTAATGAATCAATTGTCATTTATACCTGAGCTGTTCCTGTCCTTTTCCGTGACATTTCCATCATGTTTATTGGTGGTACCATCCCCATTTTTGTGCCTTAACCATGTTTCCTTATGACTGTTTCCTTATTATTAATATCATATGTGGTCAGAAGAAAAATGGCCTCCAGGTATGTCCACATCCTAATTCTCAGAACCTGTGACTGTCACCTTGCATGGCACCAGGGACTTTGCCGATGTGATCAGTTTAAGGGTCTTGTGTGTGCATGCTCAGTTGTGTCTGACTCTCTGTGACCCCATGGACTATAGCCCACCAGACTCCTCTAGGGACAATTAGTTTGGATCATTTGGATGAATCCAATGGCATCACAAGCCTCCTTAGAAGTGAAAGAGTGAAGAAGAGGGTCAGGGTCGGAGAAGGAGCTGTGGGTGAAGACACAGTGCTGCCGGCTTTGAAGGTGGAGGAAGGGGCCAGGAGCCAAGGAAATGCAGGCCACCTCTAAAGCTGGAAAAGGCCAGGGAACAGACCATCCTCTAGAGCCTCCAGGAGGAGCAGAGCCCTGGTGACACCTTGATTTTAGCCCAATGAGTCCCTTTTGGGCCTCTGACCGCAGAACTGTCAAATAAGCTTGTGCCATTGTAAGCCTGTGCGTGTGTGCTCACTCAGTCGTATCCAATTCTTTGCGACCCCATAGACTGTAGCCCGCCAGGCTCCTCTGTTGATGGGATTTCCCAGGCAAGAATACTGGAGTGGGTTGCCATTTCCCTCTACGGGGGATCTTCCCGACTCAGGGATCAAACTCACGTCTCCTGCACTGGCAGGTGGTCTTCGCCACTGAGCCGCAGGGGACGTGGTGATTTAGCAGAGCAACACGGGAAACAGACATCACATTAAGTAACGAAAATCAGTTCCAGTTGAACTAGGACTTTACCTTCATTTTGAAAACGAACCTTTTTTTACTTGAATTCTCAAAATGGTTGGATATTCTGATGGTTTCTGATTTT